AGGCCTTCCGCAAAGTCCTTAAAACCTAGCTGTTCCGACAGGCCTGGGGCTAATGAGTTTTTGTCCCCCCTCGAATTTGGTTGTTGAGTGTTTTAAATTGTGGTATGGTTTTGTTCGTGTTCTTTTTTCTTATTTGTACCACCCCCCTGACTTGGGTTGTGCGCCGCCCTGAGTCCCCTTCGGGGAAAAGGGCGGCATAGAAATATAATAAATTCAATTCAATTCAATTCCAGAAGGTATTTGGAAGATGAAACAACCTTAAAATACTTCTGAAACTATTTAAGTTGTACAGTAAAATAAGTTACTTATTTTGACATTCTTCCTTATCTCCAACAGTAACATTTTTGAATTGTAAGCCACCCAGATTCATTGACCGAGATGGGCAGCTATAGAAATTGAATAAATGAATGGATAAAATGAACAAGAAGCAGGATTTCGTACATAAAAATAGTCAGCGCTACAACCCCACACAAGTTTTTATTTTCAGAAAAATAATGCTGATCGAGAAATGGAAAATTCTGATCAATGTCCAATTCAATTTTAAAAAGGGAGAAGAAAAAGGAATTGGGAAATTCTGGAATCATTCCGGAAAGTTTTTCTACAGTGGTTTGGTGTTTATAAATCCCGAGTCATGATTCTTCTCTATTTTGGAATTATCAATTACTTCTTTACATAGTAAACTGACTTTCTCAGAGGAAGGATTCTAATAATTCTAAAGCAGGGGTGACAAATTTGATTTCATTGAGGGCCACATCAGGATTGTGTCTGACTTTGTGGGGGCAGTGGGGGCGTCGCCCCTGTGGACGTGATCAGCTCGACCAGCTCCTTTGCTGTTTCCAGGGTGGTCCTGAAGGTCCAGCCCACAGGCCTTGAGTTTGACACCTCTGCTCTAAAGAGATGATAATTACGACGACAACTACAATTCTTAGCATTGAAACTGCATACAGGCATTGGAAGGGACAGTATGAAAGATAAGATTCTGGTTGTAATAATATGCCTTGCAAGATCTTGCATGATGCCACATACATGAAAAACTCGAGGGCTTGTGTGAAATAAAAGCAATGCAACAGAAAAGCACCCAATGTTATTGTGAAGGATATAGTATTATATCCTGAAATTATACTAACATTTTCACAATAGCATGAAGCACAGCTTGCAAATGTTTAGATTTACCTTTGCAATTGCAACCATACCTGTGCATTTCTTTCCATCTCCCTCATCGTAGAGGTTACATTCACAGATATTATTAGCTCGGCAGACAGCATTTGGATGGCAGGCTGGGGAGCAACGAGGCACTGCAGCTAAATATGTATGTAAACAAAACAAACAAATCAATACGTTCACTTCAGAATTAGGCACATAGCTTGATCAACGTTATTCATTAATGCATCTACTAATTCTGCTAATGTCAACCCTGAAACTGACCTGTCCAAAGCCATCTTGGAACTTCTGTGTTGCCACACTGGAGCGAAAGATAGGGAGGGGGGATTAGAGATAGCTGAGGTGGTGTAGTCAAAATAAAAATGCTTTCCTCTGGGAACCAAGGATGTTCTTACACTTGGCTGGAAGAAGGTGGAGTGATGTCATCAGACCTGCAGATGGTCCATGGATTGGGCCACGTGACTGATTGTTTGGGTTTGAGGGGGGAAAGTTTTACTCTTAATTAGGTGAAAATGAAGCAGCCTCTATTCTTTGAGGAATCTACCTTGGAGTTCTTGCTTGCAATGGATCTATTTCTTGGAACCCTGACAGCTGGATTTTACAATGGAAAGTCCTCATTAAATAAAAATCTTTTACACACTTTGAAAAAGGGAGTCTTGCTGCTCTACACATTTTCTGGCAAGAAAAGTTCAGTTATGAATGAATATGCATTAAAGCGCCTTCAATGAAATAGTTACCCAATTAACCTTATTCACCAAATCAGCTCTTGCGCTTTTCACTGCCATTGATGAAAAAACGTGTGTGCAGCGCACTGATACTAACCAGTTCAGGAATCCACCCCTGGTTCTGACCTAGGATTCCTGAGACAGTAAAAAGCACACGCTTAATCCCCCAAACCCCCTTTTTATTTAAACAGCTGTGAATTATGTTCATTTACAAATAGTTTGTAAAGAGTCTGACAGAAGTCTGCCAAAATCTTTGCAATAATGCTGATAAGCACCCACCTATATCTTCTTTGAAATGCTGCCAAAGACCTAATTGGCAATTAGCTTTGCAAGGCCACATGGAGCCCAGAGTCAAAACAGAGCTAAAGACGTTAAACCGACCAGAACGAACAAAGTTGCTTCCTGCAAAGGCTCATGTGCCTTTCCTTCTCCTTTATGTCTTATGGGAGGGCCAATCATCTCCAAGTCTCACTTCTGAGTTGCCTCTTTTGTCTTAACTGTTCTTGCCTTCTGGCAGCTCTGCGCATGTGCACACTGGGAACAGGCTCCCCCTATTCCTCTGCCTCACAGATGTCTGATTCTGGAAGCTCCGGAGGCAGCACATAACTCCCAAATGGCCCTGCCCCCCTTTCTACTTCCGATGCAGAGCCCTCATCTGAGCCTTCCCCAGACTCCAGGACTAGCCCATGTTGCTCCCCAACCTCCTCACTGTCCCACTCTGCTGCCAGCTCCGCAGGCCGCTGGTGGACCACAACACTCATGAAATGACTACTTGAAGTTACAACAGTGCTGAATGAAGGAAATTTACAATAGGTCTTTGTAGCGGTGGCTGCTGCAGCCCTACAATCATGTGCTCATCAACTGGCTCACAGCTATGACTTCACAGTGTCCTGTGGTCACACACTCTCCATTTGCGGCCTCTGCTGCTGGCTTCTGGCAAGTCAAGTCATTGAGGGACCAGCAGGTGGGGACAAAGAGCAATCTCGTGACTGTGGGATACAGTAACCTTGTGGGATTTGCCTAACAATGGCCACTTGGACTGCCACAGCTACTGCCATAAGTGATATTGTGCCTGATAATTGCATTACTTAGTGATAGAGTTGATATGCCAATTACCATAGTTAAGTGAGGACTATCTGTATGAGATAGAGAGAGAGAGAGGGAGGGGAAAGAGGAAGATTCAGGAAGTTCATCTCTTTGGGATCAAAGTAATGAGGAACACAAAGGAGATTTTAACATGCATTCTGCCCAGTCTTGTTCATTGCCATCCATGCCATCCCTGCAAAGTCTGGCTGAACTGCTATCAAAGTCAAATGCAAATAGTTCATAAAATAGGTGAGCCTCAATCTGGCGCCAATACCTTAAGAAGGCTGGTAGCAAGTATCTTCTGTGTTTGGGATTGTGAGGATGGGAGTCATCATTGCTATTTTTATTATTTTAAAAAATCAAGTACAGTGGTGGCCAAGGACTGTTTGGACACAAAGAAAAAAACTCATGCAACGACAGAAATGGGCAAGACTCATGTATTTTTTTTTCCCTTTGCTGGTAAATTTCCTTGCTCTTTAAAACTATGTTAAGCTAATTTTACAGTGAATGGCTTTTTGACAAGATGGAAAAGGTTACTTAGGGACATTTTCATCAGTGCTGCCAAATTTCATGATGTTTATGGCTTATCATTCAGGTCTCACATTCCTTTGTAAGTATTTGCTAATCTGACTTTGTTGATTGTTTAAACCTTTTGATCATTTAAAAAAAGCCATGTTACCAATGTTGGGGGAATCAAGGTCATTTTCTTTGCTTAACTTTAGAGTAAAACTAGATGAGAATTTAAACAGGATAAAAGTTCCTGAATTGACCTCAGTTCTGAGTCAACGGGATTAAGGGAAAGAGCAGGGTTCTTCCAATACATATAGGAACTCCCCAAATCCTGTGATTTCAAAAATATATTAGCCTGCATGCTGATGGTGACATTTTGAAATTCAACATTACCTTTTGTACAAAAAAGAAAAAGCAATTCCTTCAATCAAAAAAGGCGAAAGCACTACGGATGATGTGTTGAATTGTCCCCCCCCACCTTCCCTTCTCTAGTGTTTTCCAAGATGTTATACATGCTTGAAATACCATACAAGCTTATAAAATCCATTAACAAAGAAATCAGTGGAATGATGGCAAAAAAGAAAGAAATTTTGAGAAATGAAGGCATTTGATAAAATCTACTGGGCCTTCCTCTAGGGTAGGGGCCTCAAATTTGATTTCATTGAGGGCTGAATCATCAGGGTTGACCTTGAGGGGGTGGGCAACTGGGATAGGTGTGGCCAGCATGGGCACGGCCAGCTCAATGTCACTTCTGTTGGGGATGTCTGTGGTGACCATAGGCGAGACCAGGGAGAGTGCCAAATCCTTATTCTCCAGAACAGCCTCACAGTCCCTCTCAGGCCACATGGAGGACCCCTGAATGGCGGCTCAGGTTGTCCAGAGTCCTAGGCAGTGGAGGGCAAGTAGGTTTGTTTTGCTAGTTCTCTGCCAGCGAAAATGGAACTCAGGAGGGGCACTCTGTTTTTGGCTGCAATGGCCTCCTGCAGCACTCTGCCAGTGAAAACAGCCACCACCAGATTGTGGATCAGCACCTGGTCAGCCTGGGACAGGTCGGGGCACTGCAGGCCGGTCCTTTGCTGTTTCCAGGGCAGCCCCAAGGGCCAGATTTAAGCACTCCACAGGCCAGATCTGGTCCCTGGACCCTGAAATTGACGCCACTGGTCTAGGGCAGTGTTTTCCAATCATGGCCAGTTCCAGATGTGTGGACTTCAAATCCCAGGATTCCACAGCCTGCAGGGCAATCGAAATGAATTCTGGGAGTTGAAGTCCGTATACTTGAAAGTCACCAAGGTTGGGGAATGCTGCTCTATGGAGTTGTACTTTGCAGTGTGCCAGCCCTGAGATTTGCTTTACCTAGTTTGGTTTCGCAGTGGTCTCCTGTCCATCCCACAGAGCAGAAGCAGAAGCCATCTCCAAGCAGCCCTTCGTTGCATATCCCGTTTCCTGAACAATTGCACTCTGCAATGAAAAGGAAGCAGCAATCATAGATTTGAACTAAAAAAAGGAGCACACAGTGGTGTGGTGTATGGTGCTGTCCCAAGCTCCTTTTTTACCTGATCATTCCTCCTCTCTTTTTTTAACCAAGAGATAAAACATCTAACTCAGTGGTCTCCAACCTTGGCAACTTTAAGACTTGTGGACTTCAACTCCCAGAGTTCCCCAGCCAACAAAGCTGGCCGAGGAACTCTGGGAGTTGAAGTCCACAGGTCTTAAAGTTGCCAAGGTTGGAGACCACTGATCTAACTGGTGTCCTGATAAGCAGCAATTTACTAGGTCACCAATGGATGTTTGAGTGTTTTATCTTTTATTGTAAATCCACCTCTTCGCCAATGTGTAATCTCCCTGTCTTCCAAACACTTGGATGAATGTAATGACAAGGAAATCAGAGTGATGGAAAGAAGATTATTAGCAGGAGCGGTGAGGGGACACACCACTCCTCCACCCTGCAAGAAGAACTTGGAAATAACTCTTATGCATCCAGAGTATGAGGCAGAACATGAGAAACACAAAATGTTAAGTACAGTATATCCGAAGAACAATTTTGGCATTCACATTAAAGGCAAAACCAGCTCTAGGCTAAGGTCAAGCAGATACAAACCTACAGGTGCCAGGTTTTAGTGGATGCCAAAATTGAAAAGATTTACAGAAAACCCAATAAAAAAGCAAAAAGCAGTAAGGGCTTACTCTATGAGCCACTGCACCCCTTTGGGGGTTAAATATAACTTTTCTGGTGTAAATAGGATGAAAAACTCCAAGATTTTTTTTAAAATCTGGGGTTGTGAATCCTAAGTGTAAAGTTCAAAAACTCAAAGAAAAAAAAAGAAACAAAAGGCACCTAATTGAAATTGCTAAAAAAAAATCAGAAGAGGAAGACATAGTAGGTGCCAAAATATGACTGTCTAGACCACGAACATGCATGCCCTTATTTTTAAAAAAAGTTTAGTTTTCATCACTCTATTGTCCTGTAGGCACAACTGTACAATCCAGTCACAATTGCAGGAATCTTACAAGGTGTGTGGCTCATTAAAAAAATGAAAATGATATTTAGAATTGAGGGTAACACATGAAGAAGGCAACAGTCCATTAGGACAGTGTTGTCAAATTCTACCAGCGGTGGATTGTAGGCGGTACGCCCTGGTATGGGCGTACCGGAGCCAGCCTGGAGCACCGGATACCGTTCTGGTATGGTGCTCTGGAGGGCCCACCCACTCGAGTTTTTTACTGGTGTTTAAAGACTTCTGTGCTCCTGTGCACACGCATGGCGCATACAGTCCCTGCACGAAGCTCTGCGGAGCAGCTGGAGTATCGCGGAGGCACTAAGACACATGCCTATGCTGTGCACATGTGTGTGCATGCTATGTGTGTCCATGAGGACGCCACCGGCCCCGTTTCAACTGTACCGGTTGGAACGGGAGTTGAAACTCACCACTTAATCCTACCACCCAATCACCCGGAACATTCAAGACAGTATCATGCAGATATCTCATAAAAACCACCTTTTTCTCCACTAAACATAGATGGGTGGAAGAGGGGAGGGGAAATCACTACTATAATTTTCAAATACCCTTGGACATCTGACACAGAAGATATATATAGGAATTACAAAGACAATGCAAAGTACAGGTAAAGTACATATGTGCCAGTTGTTCCCAACTCTAGGGGGCGGTGCTTATCTCTGTTTCAAAGCCAAAGAGCCAGTGCTGTCCAAAGATGTCTCCGTGGTCATGTGGCCGGCATGACTAAATGCTGAAGGCGCACGGAATGCTGTTACCTTCCCACCAAGGTAGTCCCTATTTTTCTACTTGCATTTTTACATTCTTTCAAACTGCTAGGCTGGCAGAAGCTGGGGCAAGTAACGGGTGATCACTCTGTTACACAGTGCTAGGGATTTGAAGTGCTGAACTGCCGACCTTTCTGATTAACAAGCTCAGCGTCTTAGCCACTGAGCCACCGTGTCCCTACATGCAAAGGGTACCATCATGAAAAATAGTGAAGAAGAGCTAATTACAGCCTTTTGTTAAGCTGAAAACATTGTCATACCTTTGCAGTCTGGCCCATAATACCCTGGAGCACAGAGTTCACAAGCCACTCCAACAAAAGCTGCACTACAATTGCACTGTCCCGAGCCTTTATGCCCATCATCACATGTACCACGATTTTGGCATGGTGCTTCCAGTCCTCCGGGACACACTGAAAAAGGCAGAACCGACACATCTTTTTCAACCAAATATATCACTTGAGAAATAAAGTATAAATGAAGTCATTTAGGCTTTCCAAGGAGACCACAGTCTATTTGGTCATATAGTTTTATTCATTTCCTAGAAACAGCAGCTACAGATAATAACTTCCTCCATGTTTGAAACTTTATGTGTTGGGTGTGTATAACCCTTCATTTTTCTTCAGTGCTTTGCATTATTTTACCACAATTGTTAGTAGATTTGTCAGTTATTGCACACAACTAAAATTATCCTTAGAGATAAATTCCTTCAAGATTGTACTTTATACACAAACTGCTAAAAAATTAACCTAGGAAAATGAAGAATAAAATTCTGTTGAATATTTCAGCTTTTAAAAATCAGGGTAACTTTCTGCTGGTTACCTTTCTATCATTCTAAAAGAAAGGTTTCACATGATGCCATAAAGGTTTTCTGTCTCTTACTGTCATTCTCTATCTGCCAATTACTCACATCTTTTAATGTACCCTACCTTTGCCCATGTATAGTGATGGTTTTTATTTATGTTGAATGGCATGCATATGTCAGGGAGATCTACACTTTACAGAGTAATCCTGACAGCCTAATTGTTAGTTTGTTTGGTTTCACACCTGCACACTTATCCACAGTGCACCAAGGGGGAGGGGGAACTAGCTTGCACTATTATAGTAATGATTATGATCATACATTTTAAACCCATTTAGGTTTCATATGTTCTGGTGTTTAGCCAGGTTTTAAAGCGATCTGACTTTAGAACAACCAAGAATTATCTTTATGTAGTAACCACCTTATTTTGGACAATAAGCAAACCATGGAATTAATAGTGAATGTCTGCCCGAATAGTGAAAAGTCAGATCCATAATCATATGAGGTCAGAATAAGGGAACCTGATTAACCTGTAGCTCTAATTCTAAGCAACGTTTGTAGGGAGTGAGTCCTATTGTATTCACTGGAATTTAGGTCCATGATTGAAGTTAAATGGCAAATTCATCTTTAAATCAAGGTCATTTTAGAATGATAGAATAACAGAGTTTGAAGGGACCTTGGAGGTCTTCTAGTCCAACCCCCTGCTAAGCAGGAAACCCTACACCACTTCCGACAAATGATTATCCAACATCTTCTTTAAAACTTCCAGTGTTGGAGCATTTACAACTTCTGGAGGCAAGTTGTTCCACTGATTAATTGTTCTAACTGTTAAGAAGTTTCTCCTTAATTCTAAATTGCTTCTTTCCTTGATTAGTTTCCACCCATTGCTTCTTGTCCTCCCCTCAGGTGCTTTGGAGAATAGCTTGACTCCCTCTTCTTTGTGGCAACCCCTGAGATATTGGAACATTGCTATCATGTCTCCGCTAGTCCTTCTTTTCATTAAACTAGTCATACCCAGTTCCTGCAACCATTCTTCATATGTTTTAGTCTCCAGTCCCCTAATCATCTTTGTTGCTCTTCTCTGCACTCTTTCTAGAATCTCCACATCTGTTCTACATCATGGTGACCAAAACTGAATGCAGTATTCCAAGTGTGGTCTTACCAAGGCATTATAAAGTGGTATTAGGACTTCACATGATCTTGATTCTATCCCTCTGTTTATGTAGCCTAGAACTGTATTGGCTTTCTTGGCAGCTGCTGCACACTGCTGGCTCATATTTAAATGGTTGTCCACTAGGACTCCAAGATCCCTCTCACAGTTACTACTATTGAGCAAGGTATTTTCATGAAGTGGTTTTCCTTTCTTTTCTTTAGGAGGTGTTTTTTTAAAGTCTAAATGTCTGGCATTTTAGGAGTTCCCCATTTAGGTCCCAACCATGTTTTCAAGATTAGTTTGATGCAGGATCTGCTGTGATGCACTTAGAATTGTATGGCATAGAAAATGCACAGGTACTCCAGTACACACGATGACTTCTATGAAAATCAGGAAAAATGATTTGCTTATCGATTTGGTCCAGCATTGGTTGCAATTCAGCGTTTAAGCATTGCTACAAGACAATGGGAAAATCCATGAAATGTTGTTTTGTTTCTTACCATTCAGTGTAATATTTACTATACGCAAGAAGATAAATGATATTTTTGGCAAGGAGGAGGAAAAGTGAAAGTCATTGAAGATACAAAAGAAATTATTAAGTGCCTGAATATTAGGATATGTTCTGATATTGGTGATCAGTAGTGCACAGAAAACTAAACATGTATATCAAATCCAAACGAACATTAGAAATAATTATATATTTCGGTCAGAGGATCCAGAACCTTAGATCCTAATCCCCATAGATGGTAAAACAAATTGCTGCACTATTTTTAGCAACTGCTGCTACTATTATTATAATTACCAAGTACGAAACGAAAAACATGTTATTTTATCTGGAATTTTAATAAACATTCCTTACCATGGCAGTTCTTTCCATAGTGGTTTGCACAACACTGGGGTACCCACTTGGTGGTAAGGCATGTTTTCTTGCATCCCTTAGTGAAGCGTTTTCTCAACTGATATTTAGCGATTGATATTCGAGAATGGTACCGCAAACGGTTGCTCCTTGGAAACTCAAAAGAGTCATATCCATGATAGCAAGTCTGGGGTTCCCCCTATGGGAAAAAGACAACTGTTTTTGCCTTTTCTTGGAAATTTGATTCTTAGGATGAAACTATACGCTCAACTTGCAAGGTATGTGGGAACTTCCTCCTATTACTCCTACGTGTTAAGTAACTAAAAATCTAAATCTTTTTGAGAGGGACGGCAGCAGTGCCTTAGATAGAAGGTCCATACAGAGAGTGGTAAGAGCAGCTGAGAAGATTATAGAAGATTTAGAATGTCCATCCATTCATTCAGAGACACGGAGGAGGGAGATTCTAAAGAATTGACACTCACTTCCCGTTATTCAAGGAGTAACTGCATATAAGTGCTATGTGCTTAGAGCTCAAAGTATTGTTAGAGACCCCACACACCCACTTTACGGTCTGTTTCTGTTGCTCCCTTCTGGGAGGAAGTTTTGAAGTATTTCTAGCAGGCCTACCTGATTCAGATCCTGTAACAGATTTGTTTCCTATGCCATCCTTCTGGTAAACTCACAAGATTCATTTTTCTCGCCATGTATATGTATACATCTGGACTAGACTGTGTTGCTTCTCTATGTCATATAATATATGTGGGTCATGAGCCAAGGTGGCGCAGTGGTTAGGGTGCAGTACTGCAGCCACTTCAGCTGACTGCTAGTTCTG